ATATCGTGCTGTTAGAAGGATGGTATTATAATAAAGCTACCAAAAAAGAGAGACTAAACGAAATGCAAAAACGGAATGAAATACTGAATGCAGTTACAAAGGTGTGCAATCAAGACTTGAGACAGAAATAGAAGCAGACCTCTGAGAGGAACAGGTGGGTTTCAGAACAACCAATCGAATGGAATTTAGCATTCGAAAGGGCTTTCGATACGATCAACTGAGACGCAATATGGCATTGTTTAGCAAGTAAAATCATTCTGAACAAAATATTCAACATAACTATCATTCACATTTAAAAAATGAGCTTCATTAATTTTATTTAAAGTGACATAACAGACGTCATAATTATATGCATAATTATATGTGAAAACATATAACATTTCTATCGTTTGTATTTAAGATACAAACAAAATATAAAGAAGCAGAACTGACAAAATAAATGAATGAGAAAATTGAAAGTGTTTTTATTTCCTTTCAAATTATTATAAAATAAACAATAATAAATAAAATTCATAATTATTATATAATAATCAATTAAACAACTAAAAATATTATTAACTTCTGTTATTAATATTCCGGGAAAAAAAGTTCAAACTAAGTATACACTAAAAACACTCTAAAACTAAAACTCACTACATTTCTATGATACTACCGTGACTCTTTTGTGAATTAAGAGTTTAATAGATAGAGAAATTTATTGATAAAAAAAAAATATTATATATTTCAATAAAAAATATTTATTATTATTATATATGAAATAATTATAATGTTAATAAAAATAAAAAATTTATAATAAAATGATTATAAAATTCTGGTTCCATTGTAAATCAATCATTTATAATCGAATTATTGATTTTATTATTATAAAATCACTGTTTTGCTTTAACACTTAAAAATTTTAACTATTGATCTAATTTTAAACTATAATAATGATATAGTTTTCAAACTATATTATTTAAAAAATAAAAATAGAAAATACACGCGAAAAGAAACAAAAGATAGGAAAGCATAATAAACTAGTAAACCTGAATTATATCCTGATTATAAAATAAAAAATAAAAATAAAAAAAAAAAAAAAACAGGTCAACATTCTTTTTTTTCTTTTTCTCAATATTTTAATCTAATTCGAGAAATTTTCACATGAAAATTTGCAAATTTGGTAAAAGCTAATGAAATATAAAGAGAGTAAAATTAAAAAGTATAAAGGTATTAAATTAATTTTTTTCAATTAAAATATTTTGCATAAAAAAATTATTGAACGCGATTATACGAGTTATATCGTATAGTTGCATTGTTAAAATTTTTTGTTTTTATTCATGTACATGTTTTCCTATATATGTACTGTTGTAAAATGCATATATTATATTTTTATTATAAATAAATATAAAAAATAAATATATAATTGTAAAATATACGAATGTTACGATTAAAATACGAATGTTACTATTAAAATACGAATGCTATACTATGCCGCAACGCTTATAAACCCTTATGAATGTATTAAAGAATTCACAAAAAACTTGAATTCAATGAAAGTTATTTTCAGATTTGATTAGTAACTATATATGTAATCAGTAGTGAGATGCTAATTCTTGAAAATTAAGCTTATTACAAATAAATGTAGCAATGAACGCTATTATTAGAATAACATTACGATCAAACACAGAGTAGCCGGATTGTAGAAAAAAAAAATTTGGTAGAAAAGAAAAATTTTGGGGTTGTGAACTCGAACGTATAGCAGTTTTGGAGATTAAAGAAAAATAGTCTGAAAAAAATCTTTCTAACGAATATCCCTAACAGCTTCGAAAATACTGAAGTTAGTGCAATATATTGGTTCAACATTTTTTCTTATTCAAGAGACCAACATAATGGTAATATACGAGTATATTGCTGAAGTCAGATTTACCGTTTTCGCTGAAAATTTCAAAAAAATCCGTTGTTTTTTTTTATTCTCTAGTTTTTCGATTTTCTGCATCAGCACTGTTGTAAACTATAAAAAATTATTTTTCCTAAACAAACTGCGATCCCCCACCCACGAGAACTTTAACACCAATTCCGAACGACCATTTATAGCTTCAGCATATTTGCATGAATACAACATCGGACTTTGTTCTTTCATCTAGCTTTAAATCTTATTTTAAGATATATTCATTTAAACAAGCATATTTATTTTACATAACATAATATGTATCGTACTAATTTTTAGAATATTTCGATCATAATCGTAACATTCATGTGAAAAATAATTTATGTGAAAAATATTATGTAAAAATAAGTATTAATTTTACTTTTCAAAATATAAAAATTAAAATAATAAAAATAATAAATATTCTCCATAGTAACTTTTGACTTTGAATCAATGAGTATAAGAAATGAAAATGTTTCTAAACTTTATGTTATTTTGTTGCTCAACATGTGTTTCACAGTTTTACTATAATGTTCATGTTGAATGAGATAATTTTTAATATTATTCACCACACAAAGCTATTGTATACGAGTATAACTGTATATGGTTGATTAAATAAATTGTTTGCTCACTTCATCATGTTTTCTTCATAACAATGCACTTGTCTAATCGATCGATATACTTTACTTATTTTCTTTTATGGTATTAAAAAAAAATAAAGTTGGGTCAAACCAATGGTTTGTATTGTAGCACTTTTCCCTTCAACAAGTGAAAATTCTGCTTTTGAATACAGTCTATGTGTATCCACCACACTATTAAAATTATTTTTATTTATATACAAAACTATTTCTAGGGTTGCATATATTTAGGATGAACGATTTATGCAGTCTTTGAAATAAAGCAAAAATTAATATAAAGTGGGGTTAACATAATGCTCGATTTTAAGGTTTAATTGTGTGAGTTAAGAAAAATAATTATATTTTTTAATTTCATTAAATTTACCGTTAACTTTTTGCGTTTATAGAAATTTGAAAAAGCTTGCGGTTTCGGAAATACAAGGTGTCAAAAATTCAAATTTTACAAATTTCAAGAGGCGATAACTTGAGAGAGGGTGGAGATGGAAAAAAATTATCTTCTAATGAAATGAACTTTTTGATAATGTCTAAAAGCTCCTAAAATTTCAAGCTTCTACAGGCTGGGGTTTGGAAGATAAACGACATCAAAAATTTGGAAAAAAACGACTTTAGATAACGGTAAATTTGAGCGGCCATTTTGTTTTTCTAAGGTTTAACTATAGTATACCGCGGTAGGGGAAGCAAGCAGTTGCCTTTCTGTGTTTGCAAAATTTCAAAAATGCTTATGGTTTCATTGCAACAAATAGTTAAAAAAGGCCATTTTTAGGGGTTTGGGGGGGTATAACTTTTAGAGGGGGGGAGATAGGTAAAAATTTTGTTCTACAGAAATAAGTTTCTGGTAAAGATCTATGTACGTACAAAATTTCAGCTTTCTATCTTCAAGGGTGTAGAAGTTTTGTAAACAGACACACGGACGGACGGACGGACGGACGGACAGAGTGAAACTAATAAGCACTTTTTTTCAAAAAATTTTTGGAAAAGTGCTAAAAAAGATTTTTGTAGTTGCAGTGCGAAATGATGTTGAGTTGATTATGATGGAATTGATTGTTACGTTCTCCCATGTAAGTTTGACTTTTTTAATGAATTTTGTTTTGGCTTTGTTTTTTCTGTTTGATTTTGCGCGTATTTAAAATGGTATTATAAATTTAAATTTACTTTTTCATAAATATTTTTTTTCTTGTTAGATGTTAATGTACAAATTGAGAAAGGACAAGTTCAATACTTTGAAGAAATCCTGATTTGAATAAATTTTAAAAAAAAATATTTCTACTGGTAAAAAATAAAAAAGTTTCTCCCTTAAGTTTCTCGTTTCTACTAGTTTTTAAAAATTTGAACATTTGGTAAGGTATTGAAAATTGTAATACTGGTCGAGTATCTTAGCAAACCAATTTTGAAAATATCTGCAGAGATTTATTATGAGTTCTGCTTTTTATTGTAAAATTTTTTGTCATGGATTGTAATTTCGGTTTTGTTGTTTTACTGAATTTCCTACAATATTAGCAGAAATAGAATATAATATGTCTGAAATAAATTTTTATTATTAATTTTACTTCATCAAATAGACTAAACAGAAAAATTAATGAAATGTGAATCTTCATATCATTAAGCGGTGGGTCGCCTACGATTGAAATATTTCAGAAGGGCTTTGTGACCTCCATAAAAGTCTCGCTGGTATACTACAATTTGTCAGGGGCATAAAAATAGCGCTAATGTAGATGAGGAATTACAAAATATCCTATGAATCGACGTGAGGGCGGCCTAAGGGTCGCGGTTCAGAAAAAAAATAAGTGGCAAATTTATTTTTTATGCGTTTAAATATTCAAATACCCCTTGAGAGTCAGGACAAACCAATATTTTTAGATGAAATTTTCTTTAGTACTATTAATTTTTAAAAAAAATTAAGTTGATGTTGCTAAACTTTATTAATAGTTTGTATATGGTGAATGGCAAATTTTAATTTTATGTGAAGTACATGCTCTGTCGAAGAGGCTTTTTAAGTGCAACAATAGATCGCAAATATACTTTTCTTGTTTTTTGGATTTTTCTTTGTTTTTTACTGTTGAATATTTCACTTTATTAATGAAATTTTATATTTACTTTTTTTTTAGCCACATACATACGTATGTATGTATTGTCAGCGATGTACTCCTGCTTATTTTTTCTACTATAATGTTATGTATTACAAAAATTTTATTATAAAAATATTAAGACATTTTTAATATTTAAAAGACAAAAGAAAAGTTAAAAGAAAATTATCAAAAAACAAAAAATAAAAAAATCAAATGTACAAAATGAAAAAAAGAAAGAAGAAATACAGAAACAGTTTTACTTTTGCTTTCTTCCTAAATATATAAAAGTGGAAATTTTCAATTGTATATCATTATTCAGTTGTCTAAAGTTGTAGCGTCAAGATCTTTTTAAAAAAGAAAAAGTAGTTTTATACATTTTTTTTAATTACAATGGCATTTAAGGTAGGAAATTATATAACGAAGAAAAAGGATATATAAAAGGATTAAAAAAAATATATAAAAAACAGGATTAAATAATAAAAAACCAAAAAAAAAAAAATTCAACTTAAATGGAAAAGTTGAAATTAAAAAAATAAAAATTAAAAAAAAAAATGAATGCATTGTGCTAAGTGAAAAAATTAAATTTTTGTTTTTAAGAGAAAAATTATTTTTCTTATATCTAGTGTTTTTTTGATTTCATGCACAGTGTAGTTGAACGTTTTGTGCATAATTTGAAAATCTAAAACTGTTGAAATTTATGATAAAAACTAGTGATTATTTTATTAAATTTGAAGGTTTTGCATAAAATTTTATTCTCCAATAATATTGGCAAATCTAGAAATGTAAATTTATGCGCTCACATAATATGGATTATTATTAATGGGCTTGAAAACAGTCTTGGAGTTTTAAATAAATTTTTACTTTTTATTCATATAATAGTGTACGAATTTTTTGCTAAACAAAAATTTTCCATAACCAAATAAAGTGAAATTTTATTTATAAATTTTAAATTTTTAAATAAATATTTTTATACAATATATACCAATAAATTATATAAATATTAATAATAGGAGTAAATAAATTATTCCTAGTAATTTAAATACAAGTAATATTATTATTGTGTGTATAGTTTGTATTGTAGAAGACAATATTTGTAATTACACAATAAACTACTTTTTTGAAGGGCGCTAGCGCATATTAAGGGTTTAAATTTAAAGCAGCGCCACTCAAAAAAGTAGTTCTATTATGTAATTATGAAAAATATAAACTACAATGTATACACTATTCAAATTATTTTTAAGAAATTTTGTAAGAAATTTTGTTTAATTGCAATTGTGGTAAAGAAAAATTTTGAAAAGGAGTTCATGTGAAAAAGCTCATTGAAATGTTCATTTAAAATGTTTGAAATATTTAAATAATTTTTTTTTAATTTTCTCTAGTAGCAAAATAATAAGTAATCGTTGCTCTAATTAATATTCTATAACTATAATTTTCTAATCCACATACAAATAAATTAGTACTCTCTTCGTCTCTCATATAAGAAATGCTCATAAAATATTATTAATTCTTTTCTTAATTGTACTTAATTACTTTTGATTACTATTGTATAGTTACATATGATTACTTATATAATTAATTTATTCTTGATTTTTAAAGTTTCATTGAGCAATTAAGAAAAAATTTTGAGATGCGAATTTTTTTTTTTTTAAATTTCAAAATTTTTCTTATATTAATCATAATTAAGTTGATTTTTTAACTAAATTACAATTGCTTTTTAAATGATTATTTTTTTTAATATTTTTAATTGAACTACCTTTGATTTTTTTTTATTCGACAAGTTTTCTTTTATCTTTGTATTCATGATTTGATCATAATTATTTCTTTCAAGTTTTTCTTATTATTATTCATTATTATTTTACTTTTTTTTATATTGGAGAAATTTTTTTAATTATAAACGATATACAAATAATTATATCATATAAAAAACTTTAATTAGTATCATAATTGTAAATTTATTTTATCTATTAAGCTTCCTTAATAGTTTTTCTAGTTTTGATAAGGCAAAAAATATTTCAAGTTTTCTCTATTTTCGATTTCTATACAGTAAAACAATTTATTTTTTAATTTTAAATATTTTATAATATTATTTCTTTTAATACAAATTTTAATTATAATTTATTTCTTTTTTTTTTGTTTAATTTTAGTATTTAATTTTTGCATCAGTTTTATGTTTTACATTTGCCATTCCATTAAAACTTCATGAATATCATGGCTATGAAGGTGGACATGAATTAGAATCACATCATGGACATGAATTAGTTGCACATCACGGACATGAATTATCATCACATCATGAATTAGAAGGACATCATTTTGAGAAATTAGAAGAACCACATCATGAAGAACATCATGAAGAAGAACATGTAGATTATTATGTAAGTTTATTATTAATTCTCTGCGATTGAAATTTTTCTCAGTGTCAAACAATTTATTTGCTTTATTTTAAAAATTTTAATTGTCAAAAAAAAAAAATTAAAAAATTTTTTTAAAATTTCTGTATTGGCCTGTATGAGTACTACAGATTTCTTTATTCAAATAGTTTTCAATCCTTTTGCGGAAAGAATATGTAAAAAAAGACAACATTTACGATCTAAAATATTACAACTCGGTATATACTAAATGATTTCCGATAATATCGAAAATTTTCATTTCTATTGTTAAACGTATATTATACTCACATAAAATATAAAATATAATATAAAATATAATATAAATTGTGGCAATATTCGGCTCAAAAAATAACCAATCCTATAAATTGAACAAAAACGTGCTAGACAAGAATATAGTCAGACTAAGTTATACAGAGGTAAATTGTTGAGTACTCGTAGTAGTTGTAGACATTTATACCGGTAGGACGCCTTAATGAAAATAAATGTTCAATTCTTGATACTATTTAGGTTATTATTTTAGATTATTACTTAGATTATTATTTACTTAATTTTTACTCTATAAGAACAGTAGTGCTCCATTCTCAAATTACTTCTCCCAGCTGTTCGTTTTCGGTTAGAACGAACTCAGAATTACAAGAATTTCATATTTATATTCTCAGTTAGTACCGAAAAGTTAAAAATATTTCAAGCATTAAAATATTGCAGGTTTTTAATATTCATAATAATTATTATATTATAATAAATGATTATTCATATTTGCATGTATAATTTGTAGGCACATCCAAAATATACTTTCAAATATGGTGTAAATGATTATCATACAGGTGATGTTAAATCACAACATGAATCACGTGATGGTGATTATGTTAAAGGTAATTATAACATAAAAATAATATTTACAATTTTAATTTTTAAGGAAATTTGTATTAAAAGAATATTTTTTTGTTTTGCATTTGAAATGCATTTCTGAATCTCATTTCTAATGAGAGACGAAGAGAGTATTAATTTAAATTAAGATTAATTCAAATAAAATAAATTAATTTATTTATTTGTGTGTTTTATAGGACAATATTCATTAGTTGAACCAGATGGTTCTATTCGTACCGTTGATTATACAGCTGATAAACATAGTGGTTTTAATGCTGTTGTACATAAAACAGCACCAGTTCATCATGAATCATTGGAACATCATGAACATTCTGGACATTTAGAACATCATGAACATGAAGAACATTCATTCTAATTTAAATTGAATTGTATATAGAATTTTTTTTTTTATTTAATTTTAGTATTTTTATCTTTTTCAATATTTGTACACTTATATATATAAAACTATTGTAATTATTATTAAACCATTTTTTATTATTTCGCGTTTTTTTTTTGTTTTAATTTTTAAATTTATATTTTTTTTTAATTTTTTGTTTTTATAAATTCTTTATTAATTAGGACGTTATCCTTCCTATATATAAAAGAGAAATCTCGTATTATAATATTAAAAAAACAATTGTATTAATTGAAAAAATAGTTTCCTTCAGTGCAATTCAATTTTTGTTTGTTGTAATATTAAACAGAAAAATATTATTTTAATTTAATTAGAAATTTTATATTTATTAAATTTGAAATTTATTATCAAAAAATACTCAAATTTATTTTAAATAATTTTAAACTTTTCTTAAATATTTTATACCTACTGTTAAAAGCCAGTGTTATTTTTTTATACTATTTAGTTGTGATTTCAATTTTTATTTTTTAATTTACTCAAGAAATTATTAATAACTCTGTGATAAAATTTCACTTCTAAATAATTTGTATAATATGTTAAAGTTGTATAATCATTTTGTTTCTTTGATGTTGAATTTATGCTTTTAGTAATATAAAACAGAATGTTTTTTTTTTAAATTAAATTGTTTTATTAGAATTTGCATTCAATTATTGTAATTAATTATTCAACTATAAATGAAATCATGTATTATTGTAAATAACTGTTTAATAATAACAAGAAAACTTCATTTAGATTATTGCTATTTTAGATTGTTTTTCATAGTTTTTGTTTTAGAAGCAATAATTAACATCAAGTTCTTAAATCTTTCAAATATAATTAAATACAAGTAATTTGTATAGCATGTCTAAAAATATTGTTAACCTAAGCATATCAATTTCTTTTATTAACTTTAAGCATAAATTCTATTCTATTTTCTTAATTTTAATAATTTTTTTACATAAATTTTTAATTAACTTTAAAGATTGTAATAATCATTTTGATTTTTTGTAAATAGTTTTTAATAATTAAAATTAAAAAAAATCAACAACCAGAACCATAACGTATATGTATAAAGCATTATGTACGTATAACACATTTGGACTTTATTTTTTTTACATAATATAAAAATATTGTAAAATTTTTGTGTTTATTTAAATGATACAAAGAAATAATTAAAAAAAAGAAAACAGGAGCAAACTGAATAAAAATGCCAAAAAAAAATTTTTTTAAAGAAAATAAATATAAAAAAAAATCCATTAAAAATTTTGAATTTATTATTTTTTTTTTATTTTAATAATGTAAATTATTTAACACCAATGATTTTAAGACCAATGAACGATTTTTTTAATTAATGAACTGAAAAACTGGTTAAAATGATGCTGTAATAAAAATAAATTAAAATTTTAGCATATTTTTCAAAAAAATAAATTTAAATTTTATATTAAATAATTATTATACTGTTTTACATCGTAAAAAAAAAAAATTTGACTCCAAAAATATCTGTTATTGAACGTTTTCAATAATAATTTAGTTGCTTATAAATATTAAAAATGAAATTATCAAATAAAATTTTGGAAAATAATTTGCAGAAGCAAGTATAACTAGTATCGAGCGTGCAAGAATCAATAATTAATTTTTCTTTATTTTCGTTTTTCAAATTACTACTTTATTTTCAAAACAACACGCAACTATTTATTCATATTTGCGCCTATGTTGTCTGAAAAGTGAAGATAAATGAAAATTATTTAACTTTGTTTTTTAAAAAACTTATTTGTGATTAAATTTGTATTTTCATTTCGCATTATTACATCAAAAGTTTCGTGTTAAATATTTTTAATTTAATTATTTTTATTTATTTTTATTATTTTTGGGCATAAGTTTCAAGAAATTGTCACAATTAACATTATATACTAAATTTTGTATTAAAACAAAATATATTTAACGAAGGAAGATAAATAAGTAGGTTCTGTTTCAATTTATTAAAAAAATATGCGTGAAGCTTATACAAATTAAAAATTATTGAATATTTTAAATCTGTATGTATTAAATTATTATATAAATCTATATTTTTTATATTACTTAAATTTTTGATTTGATATAGAACTGCCTAGTTGATTGTAAACACTTTTACTTTTATACTAGCATATATTTTTAACCTATCTTTTTTTCATAATCTCATTAATCAGCGAAAAATTTAAGTATTGTATTCAATTTGCAAGTAGTAATGCTCTAATAGTCTAATACAGTCTATGCTGTAAATTCAATCTTGTAAAATATTTATGCTCTAAAATGAATTGACTTAATGAATTCACTTTTATAAAATATTTTTTATTTACTTTTATTAAGTATACGTATTTAATAGTGCATTTTAAATGGCCATCTACTCACTTCATATCCAATATATGACTATATTTAATAACAAAAATTTATTAGATTTACTAATTACATGTTCAATATTGCACCATAAAATGCAAGTTATTTTGAACCCAAACTTCTTTTTTTTTTGTCTATTTAATTTTAAAATTAATATTTCTGCGGAATAAATTATTATCATTGAACTTGTTAATTTACAAATTATAATATAAATGATAATACAATATAATAAAGTAAAGGTGAAAAATCGATTGGCTATATTAAAGAGAAAAAAACTTGTTTTTATTTTTTTTTATTTTTGATGAAAACTTGATCATACCTGGAAGTTTTTCTTTTAACATTTGAAAGGTGGTTAAAAATTTAAAAGAAAAAGTTTTAAAAAAAAATGATGCTGTTCATATAAATTATTTCATTATTTACCAAATAAGTTTTGTAAAAAATAAAATGAAATTTTATGAAAAAAAAATAATAAATTTGTTTTGTTAACGTAGGATGACCACTATTTCCTTGACAATCAAAAAGAAAAAGTGAAATTTTTGAATATAGAAAAGTAATGATAATACTGAAGTTGGAGTAATACTGAAATATGTAAAAAGATTAAAAGGCTATGCCTCTAAGCAACATATTGTTATAAGAAGTTTGTTTTAAGAAAAGATAAGAAATATAACATTTATCCTTGGGTAGCAAAGAAAATTAGATTTTGTGTAGAAATACTTGCACGTAAAACGTAATAGTCTGAAGTGCAAATAATAGTCTTGTGGAAATATAGAACAACTAAATTTAGTTGAGTTCGTTTAGTTTAATAAAACTCCGTACATGTTCGAGACAGTCAATTTTTCGTCAGCAAGAATTCAGTGATATTTTCAAATAATTTAGTTTAGCAAAACTAAATTGGGAAATCAAAAATTATTGAGTATGTTTATATCTGCTTTTTGACATTACAATTTTGAATTTGCAAATATTAATAATTGAACATTTCAGTTGAACTCTTATAATTGAAGAATAATGAATATCAAAAAAAAAAATTGTTGACTTTCATATTCCAAAAATAAGAATTTAATAGCGCCTTAGAAATGTACTGTATCTAAAAGCTTATTACACGAATTTTAAAACGTTTTTAAAATAAGAGGAGCCAAAATAAATCAATTACAATGTTTGCGTTTCTGCTACGCATTGAGAAACTTTATTTTTATAATTTCAAATGTGTTGCATTCTTAAATGCATTTTATATACATAATATACTTATTATAATTATATGAAAACTAATTTTTTACAGTGTGGAACGGAGGGATTTTCATAATACTCAATTACATATTTTAATGTGTAAATAATTACAACTAGCTATTATTGTTAAAAAACTTACTGATCTAATCAGAAATAAAAACGTCAGCCGAAATTTATGCAATATTTTAGTTGTATCCTAAATTCATTTTTACCGTAAAATTATTTAAAACAGAATGAAATGGAAAAATTTGAATTCTCCAATAATTATGCAAAAATTTAAACGTAAACATTTTACAATTTTACCGTTTAGAAGTGAAAATTAAATTTAGTTTTTTTTTATTTTGTTAATTGTATTGAGTAGCAAATAATTAAGCAATTTTATGTACTAAAATAAATCTTCAACTAATCTATGTATATTATTAACATGAAGACTCAACTAAATGGTAGAATTGCAATTACTTATATAATAATAATTATAACAATTAGAAAATATATTAAATTATTGCATGACTTCTTTTAATTTCTAATTTAATTAATTTTTGAATATTAATTAACTACACTAATAATAAATTTTAAAAATTAAGGTTTGTCACAATTATTCATTATTATAGAAAATATAATGTTCTTATTTGTTTAATAGTTTAGTAAAAACTTTCTCACGTTTGTCATATAGCTTTATTATAAATTAAAATACACATAATTATTAAATACTTATAACAATTTGTACAATATTCACTTGGAGCGCAATTTACATCTTCTATGAGTAAGTTAAAAAATCTCTTAATCGATTTAATCTATTTAATATATATATAAAGAAATATTTTCTAATTTAAAAGAAGTAATCAAGAAAATTTTATCACATATTGGCATTATATGCAAGTGTAGATGTATATATATATATAGCTTTAGCTTTGCAATAAAAATTGAAATTTGTTTCTTGATGATTTCAAGCAATTAATTTGCATTTTTAATATTCTTTGTTAAAAAATTTATTAAATACACTAGAATAAAATAATTTGTCTAACTGTCAGACATTAAACAGCAAAACATTATTAATAAGTATATAGAACAAAAGTTATTGGTGCTTATCATATTATGTGGTATTTATTGTTTATAAATTTGCAGGAATTTTCCGAAAAATCAATACTCGTAGCCTAATTTTTGATCTATTTCAGTTATTTATTACTAAGTTGTGTCTATTTGGTAAGACTGCGGATTCAAAAATTTTCCATTGATAAAACAAAATATAAAAAGTAGCTTTATTTTAACCCAAGTGAGAATCCTCAACGGGGTTTTTTTCAGGTCACTCCAGACTTGTCAGGGGAGCCTCAGTAGGCTAAACCTGCAAAGTGGAGACATTTGCATATTCTGTATGGCGAGGATGG